TTGCTCTTGCCTTTTTCCTTTTATATTTTTTTTCTTTTCATGATGACAGTGGTGAGGCTCTGCCACCCCTGACTGCACGTCCCTGCAATGAAGAGATGATTGAACAATGAAAGATATTGTATTTACATTCATAGATTTCTTAAATATATCCAAAAGTTAAGAGCAAATTAACTTTTATCCGAAGGGCATTCAGAGGGCCCTGAATAGGTACAAGCATATTAGTAGGGCATTTGTAACTGCTCTAGAGTTTAGATAAATACCATCACATTGGTCTTAAATCAGAAATGAAGTGGAAGTTAATGAAGATCATATAAAACAGGCATAATATAATCATCATCCAAGTGTGGTCACTATCTTGCTGCCAAATTTTCCTCAAACTGGCATGTACGGAGTGTCTTCAAGGACAGTATCTCCAGAATCTGAATGAAATGTTAACAGGGAATATAGTTGTAATTCTATATCAGCTTTTTAAACCCACATAGAGCATACAGTATGCTGTGTACATGTTCCCAGTACTCTGAGATTTCATAACCAAAAGTGTCAGTAAAGTTTCATACTGTTTTTTTGGACTATAAGATGCATCTTAGTTTTTAGGGAGGAAAATAAGAAAAAAGTATTCTGCATCTGCCTACCAGTATCTATGGCATTCATCTGGCTAGCATCCTGTCAGTGTGTGAGAGAGTTCAGGGCTGTATGGAAACAAACAGTATTTGCTATGTGAACAACAAGGAATGAGACAGCAAGGAGACAGGGCATGACTTGTTCTGTATTAAGCTGCATGGTGTCCTGATATCTGAAATTAAACTGAAAATGAAACTTCTTTCCTCTGCTGAATTACTATGTTGGAAAACCTGCTTTTGGTATTGTATATTTACTTAATGGGTTATATTGTATATAAAGAGAAGTTATTGAATCCTGCTGAATCAGTTGTCAGGCCTGCAGTTATATACCTTTTAGGATTTTTGGCCTGCCACACACTCTATTATTTNGCCTGGTGCCCTAAGCACATGCTTAGTCTGCTTAATGGTTAATATACCACTGACCAAAATATAATTGTGGGAGAGGATCTTCCTCATTTATTTTAAGGGGAAAAATTCTAGGAAACCATAAACTGTTAGTTCTTTCCCATGATAACAAAGGGCTTGGCAATAACTGCTTATAAAAGCATTTTTAAAATTTTTATTAGTTTATGGACTGATCATTACAAATAGTTTCCTAGATTCCTAGATTAATATTATTCATTTGGCACATACTGCAACATTTATTCTAATTCTGTGGCTAGATGAATTGATGGCAATCATTGGAATTTTACTGATTATGGATGATTGGAAAGAGATACAAAGTAATCTTGAAAATGCAAATGTCCTCCAGATATGTGCTATTATAATACATGTATTATTGATCTGTTGGGACTACAAGAGACGCTTCCACCTTGGTTTTACACTCCAAATGCAAGGATTTTTTAAAACATCAATGTGTCATTTTGTCATCTCATGCAGGTGTTTTATAGAAGACAAAAGCTCCAAGGTGGCCTGGTTAAATCGTTCTGGTATCATTTTTGCTGGTCAGGACAAGTGGTCTCTGGACCCTCGAGTAGATCTCCAGCAGCTTTCACTTCTGGAATACAGCCTTCGGATCCAGAAAGTGGATATCTATGACGAAGGGTCATATACATGCTCAGTCCAAACGCTGCACCATCCCAAGACTTCTCAAGTTTATTTGATTGTTCAAGGTAAGAACTCATGTTTAAAAATGGGAATAGAATTTTGGAGAACTACTATTGTAATGAACAAGTTTATTGTGAGATTTATTTTTAGTGTCTTGGGGAGTTCAAGAAATGTATAATGCAGCCCTGATTTGCATCCCTATTTTTCCTGCTAAGGAAATCCAAATTGAGAAAGAATGGCTGGTTTCTCATCCCTCCATCCCTTCTGTGGCAGTATATTAGTAAACCAGGGTATTATTCACCTTGTCTTTCTGTGTAACTAGATAATCTAATTTTGAAGAGAAGGACATCTGATATGAAGAGCCACTGAAAATTAAAGTTTGTACTTTGCACAATTATCTCCCCAAAATAAGCCTTTATGAGAAGTCATCACAGAATTGAGAATTTCATAGTGATTATGAACACTAACAACTATATTGCCTTCACTGTATGAAGAAACAAGTTGCTGTTTAATATTTGTTGCAAGGGAAATGAATGAAAAGAGTTAATGCATACATATTTCCCTATGGTTTTCCCAGAAATATTTAGTTGACAATACATTTGTGACAATAATGCAAATATTTTCTTACACTGTAATACTGTACTGTACTGATTGGTGTGACTGGCAGAAATGATAGTAATTTCCAAATAATAACTGAAATAAAATATTATGAAATATAATCATAATCACATAAGCCCATGACTACATTAATTTTAAAATGTTTTTTTAAAACATTGATTTTAAACTTTAAAAGCATATTTTAAACTTTACATAAAGGCTTATAGATGACATTAAGCTAAACAATGGTTAGCACATTTTGATAAATGGAGGCATTGTCTTTTGTAAATGATGATTTATGGTTTAAGGCTGGCATCGTTTTTAGCAAACTGTCTTGATTTGACATGCCATTCAGATCTGAATATATTAAATTCTATTTCTTTGGTTTTGTCTGGCAGGTTAAGTCAGTGTAAACATAGCGATATCAAACAATGGTTTGCAGTTTAGCAATATGTGTGAATAATGTTCTTTCGGTTTGTTCAGAAAAGCATATATTCAGATTATTCAAGATATAGCATGTCATATAAATTTAGCTAAGGGTTTAATCTGCATAGAGAAGGAACTGGATTTGTGTGCCAAAAGCCTATGGCTTCAGTTCCTGATATTGTCAATCTGAAGTTTTAAGCCACTGGTTACATTTTAAAAACCAACAATTTATGTTTGAGTCACCAAAGAGCTACTTCCAGACAGAATAGGTTACTAGATTACTTAAACAGTTAATCTGTCCTGGTCTAAAATAGCTTTGGGTCTTCTAAATCATATGCAGTTTAGAGAGTGAAAATAGAGTCTACATTTCTGTGGATATTCACTAAATTCTTTTGTTCAGATTGGGATTTATTTTTGCGTAAACATAGAATTGGTTTTTAATCTGCTGGTTTTGATCTGAAGCAATAAAGATAAATGATATCTTGACCAAATTTCTCTCCTTAATATGTACCTTCTAAAATAACCAATGATAACGCTAACATTAATCTGCAGGACAAATAATTCAAAATGGGCAGGATATTCTCTTATGCCTGCTAAGAAGTGAATGACTGATTGCTGATTTCACACTGTATTTCACACTATACATCATATGAAATGCTGACAGAGTAGGTGGAGATTTATCACAAAGAATATAGATGTCAGGGCAGTCACATGACTACATCGCTGCAAATGACATCCATATCATTTTTAAATTAATTAAAAAGTTGAGAATTTATTAACTACTTAGGATTCAAGTTTACCTCTTCATATCATTCCTTTTCATCTTATAATGCTTTTTTTTTCTTTTTTAATTAGAATATTCCCATTTTAGATTCTGAGAATTTCACTTTTCAGTGACTTTGACAAGACAGTGGGTAAGAGTTTCAGATGATATTGCTTCAAAACATTTTTCAAAATTTTGATAAATGAATGCCCGCTGTACAGTGGTGCACTTTAACAAATAAACAGTATAATTAGCTTTTGTGGCAGACAAATGAGGTAACTGATAACTCTTTTCTAAAATTATCCAAAAAATAATTTGGAATTAATATCTGCCGGGGAGGTCTCTCTTTAGTAGCACTGCAACCAGGGGTGAAATTCAGAGGTTTTGACAGGTTCTGGAAAACCGGTAGTGGAAATTTTGAGTGGTTTGGAGAACTGGCAAATACCACCAATGACTGGCCCCAGAGTGGGGTGTAAATGGAGATTTTGCAATATCCTTCTCCCAGGAGCGGGGAGGGAATTGGGATTTTGCAGTATCCTTCCCCTAGAGTGGGGAGGAAATAGGGATTTTGCAATATCTTTCCCCTGCCATGCCCACCAAGCCACACCCACAGAACCTGTAGTTAAAAAAATTGAATTTCACCCTAACTACAATTTGGAAAAGCCCAATGGACAATATCTTCTCTTGAGATTTCCCTGAACCATGGAAAGCCGGAGTGACTGGATATCAATGAAGCAGTGATGTGCGGTCAGGTTTATGGCTGGTGAGGCACTGACACAGTGGTGGGTTTCAAAAAATTTTAGACTTGTGGACTTCAATTTTTTTAACTAC